GACTGTTTTTGGGTCCGCTGATTACGAATCTATTATCGAAAATTCGGTTATTTTTATTAGGTATTCTCCAACACTTTCTTGTTATCTTTCTTTCTGTAAACTCGCTCACCAACTATCCTGAAAAGGACTGTTGGAAAACGTGGATGGAAATTGGTACCGAAAGACTCGCTCATCAATTATCCTGAAAAGGACTATTGGAAAATAAGTCGTCGATGAGAATAGCCGTTGTAAATTTTTTCTTGCTTATTTTCATTTTTTATAGTTATGTCTTCTCCTGCTAAAAAATATCGTACAGATAGATGTATAAATCCATTTAATGTCTCAGGACACGTAGGCAAAACTCTTAAGAAGATCTCCAAAAACATGAAAAAGGATTTTCCTGAATTACCGAATGCATCAGTAGTTTGTGAATCTTGCAGAAAATCTTATAAGGGACAATCAGATCCTACTTATAATGAGGAAACAGATATAATTAATAATGAAAACAATAATATGAGTTTAAGTTTTGATTCCGAACCAGACGATACTAACTCACCTTCTGTTGAGGATACAGTTGAAGTTACGCCAGTTGATCTTTTAGAGATTTTCAATGGTCTTAGAGACAAATTCAATGCTCTGCCGAAAAACGATCCGTTACGTGTGAGTATTCTTACTGTTGCTTCTGAATCATGGAGCATTCGTAAACTCTCAAAAGTCTTGCACTTTGTACTGGATGGCTCGCAAAGCCAAACAGTTAAAAGCATCACATGGAGTTTTTGCTTCTCCAATAGCATCATCAGGAAAAACTTTACCTGTAACAACTGTGGAGAAAGTACAGAAGTTTTATGAAGATGATATAAATAGCAAGATCATGCTTAATGTAAAAGATACGGTCAGAGTGTATGATATTGATGGGAAAAAAAGAAAGAAGCAAAAAAGATTATTGCTCAATGACATTAAGAACTTGCATGTTCTATTCAAGGAACAGTTTCCTGAACATCCGATCGGATTAACAAAATTTGCAGAACTGAGACCAAAATGGTGTGTGCTAGCAGGATCCGTCGGTACGCACATTGTGTGCGTATGCACGATTCACGAGAATTTCAAAGCAATGATTGATGCAGTTAATTTGGGAAAACTGTCAAACAATACCCTCAAAGATTATAAGGATTGTCTAAATTACGTTCTATGCAGAAATCCCAAATCACACTGTTATTTGAATGAGTGTAAATCATGCCCAAAAATTACAAAGTTTTCAGATTATATCGAGGAACTTTTATATGAGCACAACATTCATCAAGTTATTTTCAGTACGTGGTAATCTACGGATAGATGCACTTTAATAAAAGAGTGTCTGTCTTCACAAGATTTTACTGATGCTTTATGCTCTAAACTGCGTCAATTAATACCTCACCACTTCGTCTCTAAAGAGCAAACAAAATTTATTTCTGAAATGAAAAATAACATTTCAAACAATGAGGTTTTAGTCCAATTAGATTTCGCTGAGAACTATGCTTTTGTAGCTCAAAACGCTGCACAAGCATTTCATTTCAATAATAATCAAAGCATAATTTTTCCGGCTGTTGTTTATTATAAGTCTGGTTATGAAATAAAACATTTCAGTACGTTAACAATGTCCGACTGTACCACTCATGATGCTACTGCGGTGTATATAATGCAACAAAAACTAATTCCTAAAATCCGCAAAGTTCGTCCTGAATTGAAAAAAGTAAACTATGTTAGTGATGGTGCTAAACAACATTTTAAAAATCGTTTCCAAATGTGTAATTTAATTCACCACAAGAAAGATTTTGGCGTATATGCTAACTGGCATTTCTTTGCAACAGCTCACGGAAAGGGTAGTTGTGGTGGAGTTGGAGCGATTGTAAAAAGAGAAGCTGCAAGAGCTAGTTTACAAGCTTCAGTCAATGAAGCTATCTTAAATGTTGAAGCTCTATTTTCATGGGCTATTAAGCTAGTAAGCAAAACTTTGACATACAATTTTTCTTGTATACTAAAGATGATCATAAACGAGCCCACCAATTTCTCTCGAAAAGATTTAATGATTGTCCATGTGTAACACAAATTCAAATGGGACATGCATTTATCCCACAATCGAATGAAACATTGACTGTCAAGCGACACTCCAACGCTTCGAAACCATTGAGTGAAGTGTGCTATGAACTCAATGCCACTCATTTATCACCACTGAAAATACCGCGAACAAGAAGTCAAAAGTTATAAAGCTGTAAAAATGATTATTAGCATTAGAACATCGATGATAAATTTTTTGGACATGGATTATGTTTTTTACCTCAAAGGAGGGAAAGGTGAGGAACATGTGTGCCATTTTGAATCCGCCATTTTGAATTTTAAAAATCCAATGGCAAATTTGTAATCAGACTTCCTAAGAACCCCCAGAACCCCCCTCCCTAAGAACTATTTCCTAAGAACTATTATATATAAGTGATGTAAGTGATCTGTAATCGTTCTTTGCCGCAAAGAAAGATAGTTGGGGTTCCTCGTCCGCCATATTAGTTCCGCCATTTTAAATTTCGAAACTCCAATGGCAAATTTGTTATCAGAGATCCCCAAAACCTCAGGACCCTAACCTTCAAGTGACCTAAAATCGTTATGGTACTGTTATATGGGTTTTATGTTCGCCATATTGGATTCGCCATTTTGAATTTCGTGTTTCCGATGATAGATTCGTAATCAGCGGACCCAAAAACAGTCTAATATATACATTGGGGATATATTCCCTCACTTTTGAAAATTTTGTCAATGTTTTTTCCTAAATTAACTATGAAGAGTGAACTTTATAGGTGCCATATTTGATTATCCGCCATATTGAATTTCTCAAAACGCCACTTTTCTTTTGAAAGCCTTTTAACAGACGAACATTTTGAGACCTTATACGTCTACATCGGTCAAATCAATTTTTGTGTAGGTAGAGTGATCGGTTTGATATGAAATGTCCCATATATATATTTACCTTGGTTCGTGAAAAAAAGCATGGTACAACCATAGGTTTTCACTTACGAGTTTTTTAATTTAAACCTCTCTGGACGGCAAAGTATTGAATTTAGAGAGTCATGCCCATTGAGACTCTTGTTCGGGACATCGAGGACAACAACATACTTCAATTCCAGTCAATTTAACCGGGGGCACATTTCCATAAGATTCGTGCGGAGTCCTTTACTTCATTTAGAGATTTTTGATTCTCTTGTTGAGAAAATTGGATATTATTACATGCATTTTTTAACAATTCTGGTTTCAAAAAGTATTCACAGATTGTGGTTAGAAATTTTACTAATTTTGATTGTTATAAAAAAACTCTAGTTTCCACTGCTTGAAAAAATGCATTAAATAAATTAAAAGTATTTAAAATATGTTCTAAAAATAAAAAATATGCTTTTATATCATGACGTTGCATTACAAGCATTAAATTTTTTGCAGACTGATTTTTCTGTCAACACCAGTAAGAAAAGTGAAAAGTTTCTAATCAGTAAGAAAAAGCTTGAGAAAATCGCAAAACTCAAAAATTCTTTCAATACATGAATGGTGAGAAAGCCACCGTGTATCGGACAATCGTAAAATTTTGCGACGCGAATTAATTTTCTTTCTGTTACGGGAGAACGAAGGCTCTCGTACAGACCGAATGGTCCTTTAAACCGGATTTAGTGCATATTCCGCCGCTCGTAGTTCGCGAATTGTGACAATCGGACTCATTAAGGCTGAAGGTGCCGTCGATTTGTGTCCGTCGGACAGTAAGTACACTTGCGCATCGACTGTCCTGTGCTAACTCGTGCGCGTAGCACTGCGTTCTCATGTGCGCGAGTGAGTTCGCTAGATAGCTCTGATCGCTAGATAGCTCTAATCGGCCGTCGCGTGCTCGCCGGTAGTGCTCTCTCTCTCTCTC